AGCTTCTTGCTCCTAATAGCGATGCCAGGAGCTACTAGTAGCTTCTTTCTTCTAATAGCGATACCAGGAGCTACTAGTAGCTTCTTGCTCCCAGGAGCTACTAGTAGCTTCTTGCTCCTAATAGCGATGTTGTGTTATGTACAAAGAAGTGCCGCTATGAACGTGTTAATCGTGTTAAAATCATTTCAGCATGTCACGTGTTCCAACCAAACACTTTGTAGTTCCTGTGTCTCAAGCCTGGAAAACAATACAAGAGAAGGACCAATCGAGAGGATGATTGGACTGTCAGGATTTTTTGCATTCTTGTCTTGTCAGGGTGATGACTGTGTTTGTGTGCGTAGGAAGCCATCGCTATTAGGTTGGAGGCCATTCCTGCTGTTGATTTGCAGAACCCTCACCTACCCTCATATCCATCCACCAAGATAGAGAGTAGGGACAGGTAGCAAGACAAGTAGCAAGGTCAAGTTGACGATGTTGGTTTGGTGGCAAGATAAAGAAATAGACAACACAACACATGAAAAAAGAAGGTAAGACAAGGGCCCATTTGTCTATTTTATGCGATGTTATGTCATTGTCATGTTCATTCATCTTCACGCATGTTTGATCGATGAGATCACTCAGCCCGGGTCACTCAGGACATCACAGAGCCCGTGGCAGTCGTGGCTGCCCCAGTCGTGGCAGTTCCGTTGGTGAAGCGCCTCAGAGTGGCGGAAGCTTGGATCAATGACTCGGTTTGATTTGGAAAACCGTGGGGCACGGCAAACATGAAATCGGTCGTAGATAGGAAGGACAAGGTCCAAATTTACATGGTCTAAATCCATAACCCCTTACTTACTTTCTAGAGGTACCATTGTGGATGGGGTGTGCTCTTTCCATGTCGGACAATGACGAGCCTTTTTTTGGAGGATCGGTCGCTGTTTCTTGCTTAAACTCAAGCTTCACCGGTAGTAGGGTAGACGAAGACATCGGTGCGAACAAAACGCCTACAGTGCATACAGGTACCTGGGCCCCAGGTACACCTGCTGTGGGTGTCCATAAATCTGGAAGGGTGCAACTGCCTCACAAGCCAGGGAGCAGGAAAGCGTATCCTCCAAAGGTTTGTAACAGGGGGCGGGACTGCTCTTTCCTCATACTCATGTCGTGCTCCAAAATTTTCAGGAAGAGAAGCTTTCAAGCTTGGACAACTACAACAAGGCCAGGTAGTTTGCAGCAATCCCATCCAACACAGCCCAACTCAACAGCAAAGTTTGCTGGCAAGCGTCAACTTCTAAAGACATGTATTTTGTCACAGTGTAGAGATGTTACTTGGCGGCTAGGGGCCGCTAGGGGCTGTAGAATCGACATGGGATGAGATCCACCTCCGTTGCACATGAAGCCAACTGCAGATTTGGCATGACAGGTGGAGCATGAGTGTTTGCAGCAGAGAATTGACCTGAAGGTGTGCGAAGAAGGGACATCACAGGGTGCTCCAAGATGTGGTGTATCAAAAGAGGGCGAACCTCCTAAACACTGATAAACGGGTGTGGGGTGTTAATGTTTTATGTTGTTTTATGTTCTTGTCCTCATGGTTTCGGTGGTCCTTGTCTTCCGAGACCAATCCCCGCGTCGTAAGTCCAGGTAAGTCCCTTCTTTCATGTTTTATGTGTCACAAAGAGATGCGGTACGAAGATTCACTTGGACACAGATCCAACTCGGCGAAAGTGCGGATCATTCAGCTTGAAGTATGCTTTAACTCAACAACGACATTGGAATTTGTTGTAGCAGGATGTAGCAGGTATGGAATGGTTGGGCCCCTTGAAGTGACTACACCAGTTCATTTGTCATTGCTAGTCACTCATGCAAACCCTGAACTACGAAAGGTGCTGGTTTTCTGTTGTTTTCAGGCAAGCCAGGCGGACCTGGAAGCTGTGCAGAAGGAGCTTGCCAGGAAGGCAGAGCTTGGACACACCCACGATTGTTCCTTGGGAGCAAGAAGTTCGAATGTGAATTCCAGCACTTGCCCCGGATCGAGCAACCATCAACATCCATAGCTACAGACATGTGCTAGAACTGTGTCTACCTTAGCCGACATGGTGTTTTTGGCCTGGCCCAGGTTTGGTCTCTGCCGACGGCTCCGTCACATTCTCTTTATAGCGATCCTTGGTGTAGTTTTGGTGCATGCCTGCTGGCGAACTCGGGAAGAATGAACAGGAACAGTTCAGCAAAACGTGTGTGCTTTAATCACAGCATCCCATTGTTTAGCTGCTGCAGCAAGCGCCCACTTGCGAGTGCCAACAAGTTCCTCTTCTGCAATGATTGTCCGTATTTGTTCTCCTTATAGTTCACTGGAGGTACAGCATAGAGTGCGCATTCTTCAATGAATTCGACGAGAAGGATACAAGAAGACAGTGTGAAACTGCACAATACTTACTGTAGATTAGTTGGTGTGGCTCAACTCACGCAAAATAGACATTCATCAAATTTGTTGGTGTTAGGAAAAGTGTGGTTCTTTAAGGTTTCAGTGTGAACTTGATGAGATGGCACTCTTGAGTGATATTCGCTCTTGCGCACAGATCGAAATCAGACTGCGCGTCGGGCTTGTAGAATTCATGCATTGGAGACAGTTCTGAGTAGATGTCCAATAATTAGATTATTAATATGATTGTCACATGTGCCCTGAAAGACAGAATATGTGGTGGTCATCCCTTATAGATAGTCCATGTGTCATTATCAAGTGCTCAGTATTGTCAACCGTGCAGAGTGTATCCGGATTAGACAAAAGGCGAGCGAAGCCTGGGAGCAAGGACGCTACTAGGGGCTCCTGGCCTTACTACTAGGAACAAGAAGCTACTAGGAGCAAAGGGCATTGCTACTAGGAACAAAGGCATGCCGACTTGTCGGTCATGGAACGGTTGACCCGTTTGAGCCGGTCTTGTGATGTCTTGTGCACTATCGAACTTTAGGGATTTTGTGCACTATCGATGCCAATGTGTGTATGACTGTACTGTATTACTATTTGATTGAACCGCAGCATGGTCAGAAGGGCCTTGAGGAAGGGCCTTGAAGGACCGACAGCGTCAGAAGCGCCCTCCTTCCCCTCCAGGACCTTTATTCCCTCCCGGAAGGCCTTGGGGTGAGCTGATTTGCCCATTTTGCAGGTGAAGAGGACCTTACCGCCGGTCAGCATCCAAAGGCCCCATCCGGTGTTCGTTTTGAACCTGACATCGAAGGGTCAGATTTTTGCACTTGCTTTGCCGAAGGCTACCTGTGGCCAGATCTATTCTTCTTTCGTTTCCAACGAAGCCTTCTTCCAGCGGAGAGATCTCCAAAAGTTGACATTGGCAGAACCTGTCCGCATGAAGGTCCACCGGAGCCTATGCACCCCATACCTTTGACCTTTGCAGCCTCCTGGATGACAGCATCGTGCAAGAGGCCTCATTGAATGGTGCAACAAAACTTGAGGTTTCGTTTTTCGCGTTCAGAAGGCACTCAGCAGAAGAAAGCAAGGAGAAGAGCGTTCAATAGAGAGGTTGGTTGCGGAGTCCTTGTTTATCCACGTAGGTACTTGTAGCTGAAGAATTACACTGACTGCAACATGTTGTGACCCAATCTTCAGGATGGACTGGGTGCCATGCTTTGCTCTTCAGGAGCTGCTGAACGAAGCCTTGCCCAAGCAGCCCTACGGTGCCTTCAGAAATCCGAGGCAGCTCACTTACGAGCAGCTTGGCAAAACGGCCGTCCATGGCAGGGCATGAAGCAGGTCCTTGAAAAAGGTCGAAGAAGAAGAAGAAGCAGAAGAAAAGCAAGCAACCTCACCATTTACATAGTGTTCTAAAGTCCTTTTATTTGTGTGCCTGTGGAGATCAACTATCACGAACTTTGAACTTTCATTCAGATATGTTGTCAACCCGGGAAAGTCTGGTTGCAGAAGTGTAGTGCTGGCCATCCCAAGTTGCAAAAGAAAATGGAAGAGAAATCCAATTACTGTAACAAACTGATCTTCAAAGAAGTCCTCAAAGTGTCGAACGTTGCGGAGTTTTCTTGAGCAGCGATGTTGCTCGTTTTGTGAAGTGACAATACAAGCATTCATTTGGATGGTCATGATGGCCAACAAAGTCGACCGCCTGGGGTGGGGGGGTCGTGGTCAACCAAGGTTCTCAGTGCGTGTGTCCGATGGGTACCGCTGGAGTGACTGGTGCGGCCACATGGGTGGCAGGTGTGTCAGAGGGATCCTAGTAGCGATGTCCTTTGCTGAAAGTAGTGTCCATGCTCCTAGTAGTATGGCCAGGAGCCCCTAGTAGCGTCCTTGCTCTCCTAGTAACTAGTAGCGATGCCCTTTGCTCCTAGTAGCGTCCTTGTTCCTAGTAGCATGCCAGGAGCCCCTAGTAGCGTCCTTGTGCCCAGCAGAGAGCATCCAGGGCGTGGTTTGCGAAACCCACATGGCCAATGCACCAAGATGTCCTGTGCACCAACATGTGGAACAGGTTCAGCTCTTTGTGTCTCAAATCATACATTTGGGTTTTGCATGATGCGCGGTACGGATGTTTCTTATTGACCGAACCGCATCAATACAATATGCCGAGGTCGGCATCGTCTGCAAGGTGTTGCTTTGCTGTGGAGTCACTTGGGCAAACTGAACTCAGTGACACTTATGCTTGGGTTGCGAGGAATAGACTCCTGGCTCCATTTCATTCAATTTGCCCCCTGGTTTTTGATGAAAGTCAAAGATAAAACATCAAGACCAGTTACCAGGTTTGGGTTTGGGCAAGGACAAAAAAAGAAAGAAAACATCCCTATCAGCTTGGTCCTGTAGGTGCCAAGAAATGATGGCAGCTCGGCTCACTTCTTTTGCATCGTTAGATTGTGGATGGGACATGGATGAAATAAACCAAGCTATCTAAACCTCCACGAAAACGTTGAGAGTTTTTTTGGAGTTATCATGTTTGGAGGGGTTGTAGACAAGCGATCAGCACAGCACATCCGATTGGAAAGAATTTGATGAAAGCAAGTCCAGGGCAAATGCCAGAAAGTCCCAGTTTGCCTTGTGTGCTCAGAATCACTACACTTGGTTTAAAGGCCATGTGCAGTCAGGCCAAAGATCGTGACCACTGCACCAGTTGAGCTCAACGAATTGCATCAGCACCTTGGACTATGATTGTTTATTAATGATTGGTTGTGGGTCTACTTACTCTAGGGATCTGTAGGGTGTCGTGTCATTTCGTCATTTCACCGTGCACCATGCGCACGACGTGTACGATTGAATACCCTTCTTGCATCTTCTTGCAACAATCATGGAAGTTGACGACCCCCTCTTGGTAGGAAAATAGTCTTCCAACTTCCATGATTGTTTCAGGAAGTGTAATTCTATATAGTATAGTACTTACTATTTAGTAGACTTGTTTGTTGGCCGCTTTGGTGGTTGAACCAGTTCTGCGTGGTTGCAAGCTGTGGTTGCAAGCTGGAAGAAGAATCAGATGCTTCTGGTTGAAGCTGCTTGCTGCGATGAACCAACCAGAAAGAAATTCACATCAAAGACATGGTTTAACCTTTGAAACAAACTGGAAGGGCCAGTTGCTGAATTGCTTGAATTGCCTGGGGATTGAGAAGCAAGAGCTATTTAGCCACCTTTGACTTTGACTTGCCGCGCCGTCTAGACTGGAAATCGTCCGATGAGGTTGCTGACAGGCAAGAGCGACGTGGCCTGAAGCCCAAGGTATGTGAGAACACGCTGGTAATGCAGTGGGTCGTATGCGACAGAACCTTCTTGTGTTTGAAGACTGCCATGTTGTCACGCGAATTCAACCTCAATGCCGTTGGTCTCCACTCTGGACCAAGGTCTCTGCTGCTCATTCTGTGGATTTGACCAAACCTTTGACTGATCAGCTGACCTTCTTGTGCACCCTGCGCGCTTCAATCAAGTTGTGAAAGATCCATCCCTAGCCAGGCACTTCCTAGTAGAAAGGCCAGGAGCTACTAGGAGCGTTCTTGCTCCTAGTAGGGATGCCAGGAGCCCCTAGTAGCGTCCTTGTTGCTAGTAGTAAGGCCAGGAGCCCCTAGTAATTTAATACTAATTAATGGATAGGTCAGTTTCGGCAATCTGATCGGCGCATTAGTAGATTAGGCTTGCAACACTTGCACAGATCGCCGTGTACGTGCTCCACATGTCAGGCAAGATGGCGAGATGGAACCACCGCGCTGGGTGGCGAACACAGAACATCGGATATCACAGAGACGAGTGGACTTGGAAAAGTGAAGTGAAGAAGCCTTACTTTCACTTCAGCGAAAGGATGCCACTGCTTACAACTCACTACATACTGTTTTCAAAAGTGCTTATTTAAGCCAGAACGCTTCTAAGAGCAATGGTTACTCTCAAAAGAAGACAAAGCTCCAACGCATTCAGTCCTGCCAATGCCAACCCCAAATGAGGTCACTATCTCGAAAAAGCCTCCGGAAAGCACCGTTCTTGCCTCAAGTTCAAAGTTCCGCTGAACAACTGCTTGTGTCCTCGAATGCGTCCTGCATCAAAATATGTTTCAGCCAGCATACTTTCAGCTGGGTGATGAATAGTTATATAGATATCAAGACTGGGCCCAAAATGGCAGAGCACCGGAGTATATCAGAGCCACCAAAGATCGCAGATGACTCGGAGGCCCTAGCCGAGACGGCTCGACTCAGCCAGTTTGTGGCGTCCTGGCCGAACTTGCCACCAGCGGCCTACAGCACGCAGCTGAGAGAAGAGGTTCCCGCAATCGAGAATATTCGGAATGGTGAAAATGATGTAGCTGAGACCTTTTGCATCTTGTTGCTTTGCTCGAGATCCAGTGAATAGGCCAGCCAGAATGCCAGAGTCCTGCACTTTCGCTCTTCCGACCAAAAGTATTGGATGGTTTGGTTTGGAGACATTGCAACTGTTGTGCAACCGGCTGAGGTCAACCAGAGACTACGATCTTAACGGCAGCACACAAAATTTTAGAGTCCTGAAGCCCAGGGGAGCAGACGAATGTTGGGCAAGCAATTGCTGATGCAGTCAGGAGACGGCACAGAATTTAGCCGGTTCAAAGGCAAAGGAGCACATATCCAGACCACGTTATGGTTCCTTTTTGATGTTCATGACTAGTTTGTTTGTCATGGTGTTGCAGATCGTTTGTGCTCGATGCCTGAGTCCAACAAGCAACCATGTGAAAAATGTGAAGAGTGAGAGGCAGCATCGGACATCAGAGGAGCATGTGAAAGACCGAAGAATTGGGAGACTCGACGAAGAATCCTTTGTTGACGCAGTTCAGACTCGGGAGACTTGCTTGGCTGAGTCTCTCAGTTGTTGGCTAAGGACTGGTAGCCTTCCACCTTTTGTGACACCGCCCTTGCTATATCGTATCAATGCAAGGGGCCAAGACAATGAATGAGCATGAATAAGCAAAAGTCCGCATCATTGTCACACCTTCTCATCTCACTGGGCAACT